TTGTTGAGGATGTCTCGAGCGAAACGCTGGTTTTGCAGAGTTGGGGATGTCTCGAGCGAAACGCTTGGTTTCAGAATTTGTTGAGGATGTCTCGAGCGAAACGCTGGTTTTGCAGAGCCGACCGCGACACGGAAAAGCGCTCCTCGCGCAGGAATTCCGAGGATGTCTCGCGCGTGCCGCGTCCCGCGCGCAGGAATTTTGATTTCTTGGGGTTTTGACAGGATTTCTCGAGCGAAACGCTTGTTTTTCATAATTTGTTGAGGATGTCTCGAGCGAAATGCTGGTTTTGCAAAATTGGAGGATGTCTCGAGCGGGGGCCTCGTGGGGGGCCAGAATTCAGAGGATGTCTCAGGCGAAATGCTTGTTTTCGTGTCCCGCTCGCAGGAATTCCGAGGATGTCTCGCGCGTGCCGCGTCCCGCGCGTAGGAATTCTGATGATTTTGATAGGATGTCTCGAGCGAAACGCTTGTCCCCAGCACGTTCAGTAGCGCGTCCCCTTGGCACGTCCCGCGGTGCGACCCCATGGCACGTCCCCTGGCACGTCGCCTGGCGCATCCCATGGGACGTTTCGCGGCGCGTCCTCCTGGCATGTTCCCCTTGTCAATTAGCTCTGGGGCAGCTACGATGTGTTCAGGCAGCTCGAGCTTAAGATCCAGATCAGTTCGGTTAGGACTCGGATGCAAAGGAGGACTCGATCCACGACGCTATAGAGCACAACCGCGGCATGGCACATCGCAATTCAGCACGGTGCAGCACAGCACAGCCCTCGGCAGGTACATCAAGATCGATACACTCAGCATTGCAACTTGGCACGTTCCTTGGCACGTTCCGTGGGGCGTCCCTTGGCGAGTCCCCCTGGCACGTCGCGTGGCGCGTCCCCTGGCACATTCCGTGGCACATCCATTGGCACGTTCCGTAGCGCGTCCCTTTGGCACGTCCTACGGTGCGACCCCATGGCGCGTCCCCTGGCACGTCGCCTGGCGCATCCCTTGGGACGTTTCGCGGCGCGTCCTCCTGGCATGTTCCCCTGTCCATTAGCTCTGGGGCAGCTACTATGTGTTCAGGCAGCTCGAGCTTAAGATCCAGATCAGTTCGGTCAGGACTCGGATGCAAAGGAGGACTCGATCCACGACGCTATAGAGCACAGTCGCGCCATGGCACATCGCAATTCAGCACGGCGCAGCACAGCACAGCCCTCGGCAGGGTACATCAAGATCGATACACTCAGCATTGCATTTGCCCGTCACCCAATCAGGTGTCTTTGAAAACGCTGCCATGTGTTACAGTTCTATATTCCTTTCCGGGTTCGTGGGTCGATCATGTTGTGGTCGTGGTGATGGTGAGTTGTGGTGGTGGTGGTGGTTGTGGTGGTGTGGTGGAGGTGTGGTGGTGGTTTATGGTGGTGGTGGTGGTGGTGGTGGGTTGTGGTGGTGGCGGTGGTTTGTGGACGTTTGTTGTGGTGGTGGTGGCGGTGGTGGTGGTGGTGGTGTGGTGGTTTGTGGTGGTGGCGGTGGGTTGTGCTGCTGGTAGTGGTGATGGTTGTGGCGGTGGTGGTGGTGGTCTGGTAGATTGTGGTGGTGGTAGTAGTGGTGGTAGGTTTTTGTGGTGGTGGTGTTGGTGGTGGTGGTGATGGTAAGTTGTGGTGGTGGTTGTGGTGGTGGTGGTGGCTGTGGTGGTGGTGGTTGCGTGGTGCTGTTGATGGTGGTGGTGGTGGTGGGTTGAGGCGGTGGTGGTGGTGGTGGTAATGGTGGTGGTGGTACTGATGGTAATCGTCGCTGCGTCCCCGCCGTCGCCGGCGCTGCTGGCCGCCGCCAGCGCCGGCGCCGGCGCGAGGGGGAGGGGGTGAACCCGCCCCCCCCCCTCGGCGCCAGGGGGGGGGGGGGAATGGGTTTGAAAACACCCCCCCCCCGGGCTGCCTTTGGTCATCGTCGCTGCGTCCCCGCCGTGGGCGCTGCTGGCGGCCGCCAGCGCTGGCGCCGAGGGGGGGGGGTTGTTGAACCCCCCCCCCCCCCTTGGGACGGGGGGGGAAGGGGGGGTTTGGGAGGGGGGGTGTTTGAGGGGACGGGAGTCCCCCCGGGTTTGATCGACGGCGCCGAGTGTTGGGGGGGGGCCCACCCCCTCGTTCGAAACGCGCCGCCGAATGTTCCCAAGGCAAGCGCCCGTGAAACACGTTCTCTCAAATGTCAGTTCAAGTTCCCCGTGAACCCTCTTTGGGGGCCTGGGAGGCCGTCCTGGGGCGATCTTGGGGGCATCTTGGGCCGTCTTGGGCGCTGGTATGACCGAGATGCTGCGCTCCCGAAGTCTATCGAAATAGGCTGCCTATAGGAGTCCTACCTTTTTCCCAGAGAACCTGGTCCACTGATACCCCCCTTCAATTTTGCCTCTACGCGAATCCTATGTTGCGCATGGCTGCCTCTGTTGCGCGGATTCCTATGTGTCGCATGCTTTCCTTTGCTATCCGCATGGGCTTCTGGTTTGCTTTTGCTCGTAGACGCCTCCCCATTGCCCACGGCTTCCTATGTGCCACAGGGCTTCATCTGCTATTTGTCACGTCCTCTGCACGTCTGCCTCTGCTGCGTATGGCTTCCTCTGCTATCCGCGTGGTTTCCTCTGATATCTGATTTGCTTGCTGTGGCTATTCCAGTGGCGTCCCAACAATCGCCCAATACGTCAAATTCACAAGTAGCGTAGAGCAGACTAGAGTAGAATGGGGTAGGGTGGCAGGGCACGCTAGAGTAGAGTAAAGCAGGGCAGGGTAGAGCGGAGTAACGCAGACTATGGCAGATCGTAGGCTCGAATCGGGTCGAGTAGAGCATGGCAGAGTCGTGCAGAGCAGAGCATATTAGATTAGAGGAGAGTAGAGTAGGTCAGGATTGAGTAGGGTAGGGTAGAGTAGAGTAGGGAACAGTAGATCAGAGTCCAGTAGAGTCGGGCACATCGGGTATATTGGAGTGGAGCAGAGTCCACCCTAGTCCAGTTCAGTGTACTCCATTCGGGTCGATTTCAGTTCACCTCAGTCCACTTCACTTCAGTCTTCTGATATATTTGGATTTTGCGCTGGCTGATCTCATGTTTTGTGGTTCAATCAGTTGGGCTTGTTTCGCTGAGACCATCTTAGGCCAGGCTGGATGTGTGGAGCCCAAGCCACGGCCCCGATACCTTGGAACACATTCCGCGAGCCGCCCCAACAGCGCCCAGGAGCGCCGGGAACTCTGGGTTCTGAGCCCGTGGAAAGCATCAACAAGATTGAGCGCACAGACCTCGGAGGGACCTGCCTGCGGCGCAGTGGCGGACGGTCGCACCGTACGCAGCGACCAACCAGAGGTCGCCTCTTGCCAAGGGTCACTCTTGCGTGCGCCTGTGTGCACGATCTGAGCGGCTCTGTCGTCTCCTCTGGTCCGAACCTCCCTGTTCCGTCGTGCCCCAAGCAGCTCGCGGCGCGCCCCGCCGTTGGCCCGACTGGCGCCTGCACCGCTTTCGCACTCTTGCGCCCGCCGGCTTCAGAAGTGCCTCCATGCTGTGGTCGGCGTTTTCGGGGAGCGTGGAGGTCTGCGGCCCGATCGGGACGGGGGCCGGGGGGGGGGGCCGCCCGGGGCCCTCGCGCCCCCCGTTCTTGTCTTTTGGCCGCCGCGGGCGCCGCCGACGCGGCGCACGTCTGCTCCCGCGCGCTTGTGCCTTCCATGCCGCCGAGCATGGCCACGCCCTGCAGAAAGATCACACGCGCACCAAGGATGTGGCCGTGCGGGCGAGCTCGACTGGCCGTCTGCACCAGGGGAGGCGAGCGGAGGAGGATGAGAAGAGCGGCGGCAGGAGCAGGAGCAGGGAGGAGCAGGAGCAGGGGGGAGGAGGAGGAGGAGGAGGAGGAGGAGGAGGAGGAGGAGGAGGAGGAGGAGGAGGAGGTGGAGGAGGAGGGAGAGAGAAGGACGACGAAGAGGAGAGAGAAGGGAGACTGCAGTGAGTTTTTGGGAGGGGATGGTGAGACCAGGGGCCCCATTGGGTCCAAGGGTGGAGGAGAAAGGGACGAGATGAGTCTGGGAAGGTGGAAGCGGGGTAGGAGCTTGTGGGCAGGAGGAGGAGGAGAAGGAGGTGCACGGATGGTCCACATATTGTCGTTTGCTTCAGTACGTGAACGGAGGTTCTCATGTATGTCCCTGGAGGTTACCGACAGGTTCCGCTGATTTCTTGAAGACTTGGGGGGAGGGCGTTTTCGGAGGCCTGGTGCTCTTTATCTCCGCAGATGCCGCCTCCATACCAGTTCAGCTCATGCCTAAAGCTGAGCAGGCCCTAAGGCTGGCTGTTATTCGCAACCGTGGCATGGCACTGAGCATAGTAACGTGTATCGCCGCGCCGTTTGTTCCGTCTCGCGGCCTTCCGCCTTGGGGAGGGCGCCGCGGCCACCAGGGCAAACTCCGCCCGGTGGGCTCGCCGTGGGATTTGCCGCGGCGCCGGCTGTGTCGCGTCGGGCGCGGGGCGCAGAGCTTGCCGTGGGATTGCCGTGGGGTCGACATATCTTCGCCTTGATCCCCTCTTGCCCCCAGCACGAAGGCGTTTTCGGAGGCTTTCGCAGCGGGAGCTCGCGTGGTCCGCATTCCTCCTTTGCTGGGAGACCGCGCAGCGCAGGGCCGCGTGGAGAGCACTGCGGCGTAAGAGCGGCGGCCCTGCATCACGCCCAGGTGGGCGGCAACAGGGCACAGCAAGGCACAGACAAACAGGCAGGACGGCACACAGATCAACAACAAGGTTCAACAACTCACGAGGAAGGCGGGACGGTACAGAGAGGGCGTCGGCTCCCTCTCCCTGTGCACCCGATGCCTCTCCACCAGCCCTCACGGAGGATCGGCTCGAGGATGGGCCGAACGGTCTTCGATTGGGGTAGCCCCAGGTTGTGTGTCAGGTTTCGAAGGCAGAGTCGGTTTAGGGACAGTTGCGTTTGGTTCACGCATCGGCTGCAGGTGTGACTGATGTATGTCCATTTGCTCGCTATGTGTGCCTCCAGCCAGGTGGTTACCACTGACCGCCCAGAAGACTAAGACGGAGCAGGAGACCGTTTTTCGATCCTGTTGTTGATATTGCATTCTCATTTGCTTTTGATGCTGCCTGCTGCTTCTCGGTCTTACGACACCCTTGACTGGCGCGCTCCAGGCGCCTTGCAGCAGGACGCCCCATCCTCACGGCTGGTGCTGACTGCACCTCTCATTCTTCGCGACAAAGAGCGGCGGCGAGTTCTCGTGACGACGCCTGGCCGCTGCCAGCGGCCTGTGGGTGCCGCGCAGCACCTGCATGAAGGCAACGGGCCGTGGGAAAGCGGATGATTGGTCTCTGGGGTTTGCTTGGGGAGCATTTTGTTGTCTTTGGCGATAACGGGCGTTGGCGGCGTTACCTGCGGGGCCGTTACGTTTCGCGCCGGCGCAGTCTGGGAATGTTAAAGCATAAGCCAGCTCGGCGGTCAGCACGAAGCGTGACGTTACCTGTTGGGAAGAGGGGCGGCCAGGGCCGGTAATTGCCGTAGTCTCGATCAAAAACACGCTGTCTGGGGGCTTCCCTGAGGACCGGCTTTTCATCCAAAGCCGTTCTTGGACGGTCCTATCGAGGGCGTCGTCCAGAGGGGGGTGTAGACTAGGGGCCGCATGGCCCGCGCTTCTTTTTTCCCGGAAAGGGCGTAGGCCCAGGGTTCTATTTTAGTTTGGTAAACCTGTCCCCGGTGCCTCAACTGAGGTGCGTCGGCGGATTTTTTCTTTGATAAATATCGAGGTCGACGTGCGCCAGCGGATTAAAATTTGAGGATGTCTCGAGCGAAACGCTGGTTTTCAGAATTTGTTGAGGATGTCTCGAGCGAAACGCTGATTTTGCAGAGTTGGGGATGTCTCGAGCGAAACGCTTGTTTTCAGAATTTGTTGAGGATGTCTCGAGCGAAACGCTGGTTTTGCAGAGCCGACCGCGACGCGGAAAAGCGCCCCACGCGCAGGAATTCCGAGGATGTCTCGCGCCCCGCGCGCAGGAATTTCGAGGATGTCTCGACTAATTCGCTTGTTTTTCGGATTTCCTTGAATTTTGGCAGGATGTCTCGAGCGAAATGCACGACCCCACCCTGGCCCGACCACGCCCCAGCACGACCACACCCCAGTACGACCACACCCCTGCACGACCCCACGCCAGCACGACCCCAGCCCAGCACGACCACACCCCAGCACGACCACACCCCAGCACGACACCACCCCAGCACGACACCACCCCAGCACGACCACACCCCAGCACGACCTCATCACAGCACGACCACGCCCCAGCACGACCACGCCCCAGCACGACCACGCCCCAGCACGACCACGCCCCAGCACGACCACCCCCCAGCACGACCACCCCCCCAGCACGACCACACCCCAGCACGACCACACCCCAGCACGACCACACCCCAGCACGACCACACCCCAGCACGACCACACCCCAGCACGACCACACCCCAGCACGACCACACCCAGTCGCACCCCCGTGGAATGTTTCGTGGGGTGTCTGGTTGAGTGGTTGCCTGTTCGTGGGGTGTCTCGTGGAATGTTTCACGGGGTGTCTCGTGGAATGTTTCGTGAGGTGTCTCGTGGAATGTTTCGTGAGGTGTCTCGTGGGATGTTTCGCGGGGTGTCTCGTGGGATGATTCGTGAGGGGTCGCCCAGTTGGGTATCGTGAAAACGTGACACATGTCTATATCCCTTTCCGGGTTCGTGGGGCCATCATGTTTCAAGACGTTCCCTGGACCCCCTCGTCCTCACACATGCCTCGTAGTCGTAGTCGTAGCCGTAGTCGTAGCCGTAGTCGTCATCGCAGTCGTCGTCGTCGTCGTCGTCGTCGTCGTCGTCGTCGTCGTCGTCGTCGTCGTTATTGAGAGGCGGTTGCCGCGGAGAATGAGTTATTTCATATCATTGGTGGGACCCCCGTCCGTCAATGAGGTCTTCGAAAAGATAATCAGTTTCCAACCATTGGGGGTGTTCTAAAGTCATACTGAGGTTATCCGCAAGGGCTTCGCCCCCTGCCGCCGGCCCCCTCTCTCGGAGAATGGGCCATGGAAGAGCGAAGTCATGAGGCTTTCGCTTCACCGTGAAGAAGCGTCGGAACTTCATGCGAAGACGATGGGTAATTAGCAAGACGAATGGAGATTGCGAGTCTATTGTTGTACTTGCTAGTGTATGTTCCATTTGCTCCCGTATGCTGTGTGCAAATCTTGTCCCCGAATTTGAAAATGTTGGAAGTCTCTTGTGTCCTGACCGCGCGGAAGTGTGTGAGGGGTGCCCCAGAATTTAAACATGTGGCAAAGTCTTTGTGTTTTTGGACCCTGACCCTGTCGATCCGCCTGAGGGGTGCCACCGAATTTCAGAAATGTTGAGAATCCCCTGAGTTTTCGGACCCTGACCCCGCCGATCTGCGTGAGGAGTGGCATCGAATTTCAGAAATGTGGAAAATCCCATGTGTTTTTGGACCCTGACCCCGCCGATCTGCATGAAGAGTGGAATCGAATTTCAGAAATGTTGCAAATCCCATGTGTTGTTGGACCCTGACCTCGCCGATCTGCGTGAGGGGTGCCAGCGAATTTCAGAAATGTAGCAGATCCCATGTGTTTTTGCATCCTGACCCTGCCGATCTGCGTGAGGGGTGCCAGCGAATGTCAGAAATGTGGCAAATCCCATATGTTCCCGGAAAGGGCTCCGTCCCGGGGTTTACTGGTAAACCTCTTCCCGGTTCCATGCGGGAGGTGGGCCGGCGGAATTATTTCCTGATAATTTTCAAGGTCGAGGTGGGCCGGCGGAATTAATTGGGAGGATGTCTCGAGCGAAACGCTTGTTTTTCCGAATTTGTTGAGGATGTCTCGAGCGAAACGCTGGTTTTGCAGAGTTGGGGATGTCTCGAGCGAAACGCTGGTTTTCAGAATTTGTTGAGGATGTCTCGAGCGAAACGCTGGTTTTGCAGAGTTGGGGATGTCTCGAGCGAAACGCTTGTTTTCAGAATTTGTTGAGGATTTCTCGAGCGAAACGCTGGTTTTGCAGAGCCGACCGCGACGCGGAAAAGCGCCCCGCGCGCAGGAATTCCGAGGATGTCTCGCGCGTGCCGCGTCCCGCGCCCATGAATTCATAATTTGTCGAGGATGTCTCGGGCGAAACGCTGGTTTTGCAAAATTGGAGGGTGTCTCGAGCGGGGGCCTCGTGGGGGGCCAGAACTCAGAGGATGTCTCAGACGAAATGCTTGGTTTCACGTCCCGCTCGTAGGAATTCCGAGGATGTCTCGCGCGTGCCGCGTCCCGCGCGCAGGAATTTCGAGGATGTCTCAACTAATTCGCTTGTTTTTCCAGGATTTCCTTGGATCTTGACAGGATGTCTCGAGCGAAACGCTTGCACGTTCCGTAGCGCGTCCCCTTGGCACGTCCCGCGGTGTCTCGATGGCACGTCCCCTGGCACGTCGCTTGGCACGTCCCTTGAGACGTTCCGCTGCGCGTCCTCCTGGCATGTCCCTCTGTCAATTAGCTCTGGGGCAGCTACGGCCAGTTCAGATCCGATCAGTTCGGTCAGGACTCGATCCACGAGGCAAAAGAGCACAATCGAGGCATGGCACATCGCAATTCAGCACGGCGCAGCACAGCACAGCCTTCGGCACGATACATCAAGATCGATACACTCAGCATTGCAACTTGGCACGTTCCTTGGCACGTTCCGTGGGGCGTCCCTTGGCGAGTCCCCCTGGCACGTCGCGTGGCGCGTCCCCTGGCACGTCCATTGGCACGTTCCGTAGCGCGTCCCCTTGGCACGTCCCGCGGTGCGTCCCCATGGCACGTCCCCTGGCACGTCGCCTGGCGCGCCCCTTGGGATGTTTCGCGGCGCGTCCTCCTGGCATGTTCCCTTGTCAATTAGCTCTGGGGCAGCTACGATGTGTTCAGACAGCTCCAGCTTTAGATCCAGATCAGTTCGGTCAGGACTCGGATGCAAAGGAGGACTCGATCCACGACGCTATAGAGCACAATCGAGGCATGGCACATCGCAGTTCAGCACGGCGCTGCACAGCACAGCCCTCGGCACGGTACATCAAGATCGATACACTCAGCATTGCATTTGCCCGTCGCCCAATCAGGTGTCTTTGAAACGTTGCCATGCCTTACATGTCTATATTCCTTTCTGGGTTCGTGGGTCGATCATGCTTTTGGACCCTGACCCCGCCGATCTGCGTGAGAGGTGCCAGCAAATTTCAAAAATGTGGCAAATCCCATGTGTTTTTGGACCCTGACCCCGCCGATCTGCGTGAGGGGTGCCACCAAATTTCAGAAATGTGGCGATCCCTTGTGTTGTTGGACCCGGACCCCGCCGATCTGCGTGAGGGGTGTCAATTTTTACACACCCCAGCAATTCAGACAACACGCTCAGGGCGTGCTAGACCTGCCCGTTTGGGCCTCCCCCACCTCGCGCGGTCCATCAACAAGGAACAGTAAGCAGCAAGAAGCAGAACTGTAACAGTGGAAACTGGAAGCTGCACCTGGCACAGGAAACTGCGAACCTTCGGCCTACAGCCTCGTGGCCCCACAAGGGGGCCGGCGGATTCGCCCAGCCCTTGTCTGGCGCAACCGATTCCAGCGCCCGGCCCCGTGGAGCCCGACCATCGGCGCAGAACCTCCGACTGTCCTCGTTCCCCCATGGGTCAGCGCTTTTCCTTCGCGCGCAGGCGCCTCCGCGGCCGAGCTCCTCCCCGCCTCTGCTGGCGGACGACTGCCAGCCCGCGAGGTGCCCAGTCCGCACCTGCAGGCGCAGCACCTCGCCGCGGCAGGGCGCGCCAGGCGCGCGCCGCTGCAGTCGGCACCAGGCTCGCCGCGAAAGGGAGGGAGCAGATCTCCTGGGGCGCCCAAAGCACGGGGCCCTCGAAGCACGGGGCCCCAGGAGCTCTCAAAGTACAGGGCTCTCTATTTTCGGGCTCCAGCGGGCCCTCAAAGTACGGCTCGGGCGGCTCGGGATGAATCAACGGCTTGTCCCGGGGGGGCAGCCCCCCGGGCCCACGGCCCGGCGGACGAAGAGGGGGCGGGGGCGAGGCGTGCCGTATGCACTTGGTTTCGGCTCCACCGCCGGGCACTCTCCCTCGGCTCATGGCCACCAGCGGCGCCGGGAGGCGACAGCGAGACCAGCGGCATGCAGCCGATACCCCTCGGCAGCCCTCCTCTGCCATCCCCCCCTTGCGTCCGCCCCGACGGGGCCCGCCTCGTCCCGCCTCCC